GGTTTTTAACAATGTTTCAACTTGCGGGAGAGTGTTAGAAGTTATATTAAGAAATAATTTACTCCTGTGAAAAGTTATGAGGAATAAATTATTTCCTTAGATTAGGAGTTATTTCCTTACCTATTTTATATTTACTTCATTGAATTGAAAGTTATTTCTTTTTCTATTTTAGGCTTTCCTATTTTATGTTACTTTTTTTTTCAAATAATTAATATGAATTGATTATTGAAGATATTAGATGTTTTATTGTTTCTTTTATGTTATTTTCTTTATCTTGTCTTTCCTATTATAGAATTCATATAAGGATTATTTATATCTCATTTCATATCATTAAAAAAGATTCTACTTTATTATGCATTATTTTGAATTTCAACATAACAAAATTTAGCTTGAAACCTTGGACTGTCAAGTATCTTGGCTATGCATACACTGTATCTTCATAATGTGTAACCTGGATCACTGAAACAATCACCGAGTACTTATAAGTGTCGACATACTTTAAAAGGGGGTCCACTAATATTTTGTTTAATGAATCATGACCCATCCTTCAATAATTTTGGTTAGGTTATGAAGAAAAAAAAAACTTTCGCTTCCATAACAAAAATTTGTACAGTTTAGATAAATTTAGAAAATTGTTGTGTGCATGGCATTTACAATCTCTCCCGATTACACACAAATCGAGTGTATGTTAAATAACTCGATTGCAAAGGAAAACTCTCTTTTTGTGAGATTTAAAAAATACCGACATTAGATTAAAAAAAAGATCATTTTTTCACAGTTTAACAACCACGTTTACAAAAAGTTATAGTTGTCCTAAATAGATTCTTAATTACTATTATTTGCCTTGTTCCACTAACCTTGAGAAGGTCTAGTAAGTTCTTTGTAGATCCAAAATGATGTGACTTGAAGGTCGAAGCCAAAAACACACTTTGCAATCCTCCACTTAAATGTGATTGTCATCCAACTACACAAAAGAATCTAATAGGTCACAATCAATAAGTGTTTTGTGCATCGATCGTGACCGATGGAAATACTCATTGCTCATATGGCTTCTACAATCTCTCCCACTAAAACTTAGAGTCCATGTTGTATAGCTCGATTGTTGCGTGATCTCACCCTCTTCTTGGTATTGTAAGAAAATAAGCCTCTTTTTGCTTCTGAAAGTTTAAAAAATTATACATTTGCCATTGTTGGATATGGTGGTGTCGCTTCTTGATTAATTTATCTATGCTATTGCATGACTTGCTTCGCTAAACACAATGGGTGGTCCTCATGAGTCCCTTATAAGTCTAGAATGGTGTAGCATGGAGATTGAAGCCAAAGTAACATGATCATACTCCTCCACTTAATGTAATTGCTGTCCAGCTCAAGCAGCAATTCAAAAAACCTTAACTGGGTGCTATCCAAGCAACAATAAGCTCCAAGGCTTCTAACCATGCTCGTCTCATGTTCACTGAAGTTTGAAAATTCAACAATAGCCTCCATGCATCAAGAATTAAAATTATGCAATGGGATATTGAAGCATTTGGTCAATATAAATCTAGACGGTTTTTAAGGCACAAAGCCTCAGAATCAGTAAATTATGTGAACTAAAATATATAATACAAACATTGAAATATGAAGTAAAAAGTGGCATATTGATATTCTAACTTCAAATCATGAAATAAGAAGTGCCAAACAAACATCAAAGTATGGTAAGATGTCAAAAGTAATAACATATAAGCATACCAAGATTAGAACTCCTATATTTAGGAGACACTCTCATCACTCAATGAGTCTTTATTAGAATCATTACCATAACATGGATTTCTCTCATGTCATCCTCAAATGTGTCAATGCTCTCCCAATCTTCCTCCTCATCTTCAATCTCAATAATCTTCTTCCCCAATCAATAAAAATCAATGAAAACATTAATTAAAGTTTAAAATAATAATTATGAATAATATAATTTTTTTTTTGTTAATTTTTTTATGATCTGTGTTAGACCTATCGGTATTGCTTTTGTCCCTATCAAAGCAATCATCATTAAGATCTTTGTAATAAATTTGATTGTATAACTCTGGCATTACCATCTACAAAACATTCATCATCTAATAGCGCGTCATTGCAAGATAATGGATCTTCGTTATCCTATAAAAATTTTCTTCAAATTTTCATCTTTTAATTTCTTGTTGTATATGAAATAAGCCAAGGAGTTCATACTTAAAATAAACAAACAATTTCTCTTTTTGTATAAATTTTATATATACTCATAGCAACGCATTGTAGTCTAGAATGACATCACCAAATTAAATCCAACAATCAACCAAAATTAAAAAAAACATACACAAACAATTAGAACAGCATACAAATTTATTCACCTAATCTCCTCAATAACTCTCTCAATGCTATTCATTTCTCCTTCAATATTCAAGTCCTTAGCTCATAAATAGAGAGTGGTTTTAATAGATAGTGATTTTAGCCATCAACCATAAGAACTTATAGAACGAATCATATATAAATAAATAATGATCGTCACATTAAATTGAATGATATTTTGGGAAAAAATATATATCTTACAATATTCATACACGCATGCCTGTGAGCTTCTCCAGCATTTTCAAGGATATCCAATGGGATACTCTCAACCCCATATTTATCATGTGTTGATCCCTAGGTCCTTTTACAACTCTTCTTGATATTTGTGACCAAAATAAGAAGGATCTTTGCTATTAAGCCCCTATCATGATATGATTTATCAACTAATATATCACCAAACTATTGTTGCACTAAATACTTGGAATGTTTTCTTGTTCGATATGCATCAATATCCTCTATGGCTCTATCACATCCTCAAGCCCCTTGGTGTAGGATGCAATATTCTTATAAGAGCCAGAAAGATGCTATTTCATTCTTGTTACACCCCATTAACCACCTTATCACAATAGTTGCAATTCAAGTAGGCATACACCTTGTTACTTGAATTTCAATTTGCACAGTATGTTTTCATTCTAGGCCTTTTTTACAGCTCACTATTCTTTTCTCCTCAACTCTAACCATTTTTAAAAAAACCAAGAATGAACATTTCATTTTAGAGAAAATAAATAAATAAAACATGTAAATGTTAAAATAAATAAAAGACCTAAATAAACAATTTTAAAAACTTGAGCTTAGAAATGAAAAAATTTTATGGAATAAATATTGATACGAGAAGAAGTGATATGGTGGAGGAAAAAGAGATGTGTTCTATGTGGAGGAAGAAACTTAACAAGGAGGAGGCAATGACAACTAGGAAGGAGAAGATCAATGGTGTTAGTGAGAATGAGCGGAGAGTAGATGTGAGGGAGAGGTGCTCGGGTATGATATAAAACTGAGAGCATACTTGCTTGAGGCGTGAAGGAGACACTAAGTTGAGAGAAGAGTTTTATTGATTGTATCTTATCTATATTTGTTTCTTTTATAAAATAATCCCAAGTTCTAAATTATTCACGCCATATAAAACTTGAGAAAATGCACGCCTCGCAATTCACCCCAGAAGGCATGCGCCACATGGAGAAAAACCAAGAGAAGTGTTGAGGTGTGTCTCATACTACACAATTTTAAATCATGTTAAGCACCAGCAAATCTTGCAAGAAGTTGACAAATGATGTATTTCCTTTCATGGAGGAATGAGAGAACCATCACAATGCTGCCTCCGTGAATGTGTTGAATAGTCAATACATCATTGCATCGCTCGACTTAAAGTGAGCAACATGGTTGATCAAGTTCAACTTCCTCAAATAAGAATCAAAAACTAGCATCATGAATTGATGTAACAATTGAGCCTCCACAATCTTTATATAAAAAGCATTCATAGACTAAACCTAACACTTTTCTAGGATATAAGGAAGAAGGGTTCTTTGTTGTACGCTACTCTACAAGGAAAGGAATATCATCAAAAAGAGCTAAAGCAACAACTATAGGGTTGAGGCAACATCAATGCCATGGAGAGAAAATTGACTCCCGATCTTGAGGGGAATGGAAAAGAGAAGTGGCTTGTTAAAACCGCTCAAAGATTAACTAATTCATCCTTGTTAGATAATCCTCCAAATTTTACAGAATTTAGGTGTTATAAAAGCAATAGATTTCTCACTGTGCAAATGGTAAAAAGAAAGAGAAAAATATTTTGCTTTGGCGATTCTCTTAAGCAGATCAAACTAAAAAAGACTTGATTGACCCCAAAGATAGAGATGATTGAGTCAAATCGATTCATGGAGACGATTAAATGAGATTTATAGCTGAAACTTAGAGAAATTTCAGAGAGACTTCAATAGATAGAGCTATGGCATGGAATACAAGATCATGTGACTCTTATGCTCAATTAGTGACCCCCAATTTATAGAAAGGGGCCACAAAGTTATCAACATAAAATTGGTTGCATAATTTGATTATATACAAAATGCATGGCTTTGATTTGATGTAGTTAGCTATGTAGTGGATGGATCTAACTTTACTTGGTTGCTAATGAGGAACTTGAGATTAATTTCAAAATGAGGGTGAGTTCTCTTAGAGAGCTCTTTTGACAACAACCTTTAGTCAACTAGAGAGTACCCAAAACAAGTGGTCAAGTTCCTTGAAGAAATAGTCTTGCTAAGTTGGTTCAATAGGTAAGCGTTGATGTCGAAGGTAGAATACTCCTTAGACAACTTGATGAGATTCGATTATGAGTGACAGGAGGCTTTAAGAAAATTGAAATGTAAAAAGCTCAAATTTATATGAGATTTAAGACGGTTCCTTGTGTACCAGAATCAGCTATCATTGAAACATGATTGACAATGCTCAAAAGTACGTAGCAGGAATGCTAAAAAGCATGTCAAAAAACTCATAAGTAACCTCAAACCAAGTCTCCCCAACAATAAAACAAAAGAACATTAAATATTTTCAATAGAACAGCAACAAAAAACAATAATAATAATCTTCAAAACATAGTAAAAATGTCAAAGATCCATCCAAGTATAGCTTCAAATGAAAGAACACATCACCTGATTGGCAAACCCCCAGAACAGAACCGAGATGACCACGCTCCCCCAAAGCTCAGCCATCACATAGAACAAGCAAAAGCTCCATATCCTCAGGATAGCTACCGGACCAAGGAAGCTCGGTCCGAGAGCAGCCAGAAGCTTATCAGCAAGAGCGGTGGGATGGATAACGTTATTCAGGGGATAGAGGATGAACGCAAAAGCCCCAAAGAAAGCGATGAAAGGGAACAGAACAGTGTAGAAAAGAGCCTCTTTTGATAAAGTATTAGATAGCTTGGTGTACAACAACATGAATCCAACAGCCATAGGCAGATTAATCCATGTCTTCAGAAAGGGGATAATCTCTGCACTGCTCCCTTTTGCCGTCACGACCAACACATCCTTTGTATCCCTCAGAATAGTATAGTTGAAAAGGATGCAGAAGAACATGAGACCGAGAGGGACTATCTTCTTCAAAGTAGTGGTGTCCACTCCCAAAAACTTGGGCTTCGCCTTTTCCGATGCAGAGCTAGTAAACCCAGCTCCGTCCGCCGGAACTGCAGCTCCAATCGTAACGTCTCTCTTCCGCAACCCACCTCGCGTTGTCCGCTCGCCGTCGGAAAAGGGCAAGCTTTCCACTAGATTCCACGAGCTCTGCGCTCGGAGCCCGAATCCATTACGGATTTCAATGGCGTTTTGGGCTCTGACGGATATCGACGGTGGGAGGGCGTAGGTGGGGCGGGAGCTTCTGCGGTAGAGGCGAGCGCCAAGAGAGCGGAGGGGGTGAAAGGCGCGGGCTTGGGGGTTGGAGGGGAGAGAGAGAAGGCCTCTGGTCTGGATAATCCCTTCCATGGCTTCCCTCTCCCGAAAGATTTTTTGGATTGGCAAACTTTAATTCCCAACAGGGTGAAAAGAAAATGGGCACTGGGGGTGACGAACGGGAGCGCGATGCCCCAATCCACCCGAAACCTGAACGGTGTGGATTTTATTATTTTTATTTTTATTTTTATTGTGATTTTTACAGTGAGATTTTTCAAAGAAGGAGATATTGGAGCATGTGAATTTGGTGAAAAGTGTTGATGGAGATGCGACAATGGTAGACTCACACGCGTGGCGGCTTGCTATTTCATTAAAATTTGCCAGTGATCAAAATTCTAGTAAATTTTGAAATTTTTAGTTCATTTTATTTTAAACATAATATAAATTTTAATTATTTTTAATATACGATAAATTTAATGTCTTTAAAAGGTATTCTAAAGTTCAATCACGACCCAAAAGTATTGGAACAAAGTTTTAGCCTCTCTTGAACAACCACTTGGTACTCAAGGTAAGTCATATTCACAAAAATAAAAAAAGTAAGTCCTATTTACATATTATGTTTTATTATTTTAAACAACAAATTATGCACTTCTTCAATCACTGTATTTTTTAATTAATTAATATAAATTATAATTAAATGATTGCATTTTCTTCTCATTTTTTTACCAAATTAGTTTATAATTTAATTTAATTTAAATATTTATCAGTAAAAATCGTAGTTTATGTTATCATTAAAGGTTGTTATAATTATAAAAAATAGTTTTGAATGAATATTTTAATTAGTATATTCAATAATTAGTTGATAAAATTAACCACAATTATTCTAAAATATTATGATTTATTTTCAAAAATATATTATTTTAATCATTCTTCAAACTTAAAATATGTATTTTAATCAACTTAACAAATTAATTGTTTCTTCTATTATAAAGATTAATGAAATAAATTTATTAATTTTTTTTCTATATAGTAAATAGGATTATAAGATGTTATTTTGAAATTTATTTTATAGCACTTAAGATTTAAAATATGTATGAAGAGAATCACGTCCATTTCATAGTCACATTCAAAATTAGATTTGATTTTGAGAAAATGAGGGTCAAGCCAAGTTTTATTGATAAAAAGCAAATATAAGAATAAATAAATAATGATATAACTCAAAACCCAAAAAGACACCAGTATAATTAATCCAAAATTTAAACCACAAAAGACAAAAAATAAGAACGCTTAGGTAATCTTAGCGTCATGAAGGTTGATTGACGCCCTAGGCTCGTGTTCCAAATGAAGCTCTCATAACAGTAAGAGAGAAGCTCACCCAAGTGCTTTCTCAAAGTAATGAGGAAGCTCTCTTCGCTGGAGAGATCACCAAAGTTTCACCTTCATCAATGTAGGATGAAGCTCTCCCTCCAAAAGGAGAGACCAAGAGCTCATTGGAGTCGCCCTTCCCTCAAGCTAGGATGAAGCTTTCCTAGTCGTGCTCCCCATATAGTTGGCTGGAGAAAGAGATGTCGCCAGAGAAGAAGAGGAAAAAGTTGGAAGACTGCCCAACTCCCTTGAGACTCTCCTTCAACAAATCCCTAACCAAGTGGAAGACTGGAGAAAAAACTAATCTCAGTACTCTCTAGAGAAGGTGGCCAAAACTCTAGAAAACCAGAATGGAAGCTGGTGGAGAACCTTGGTTGCTCCCCCTACTTAGTTGAAATTGCGTGCCATCTCTTCTTCAAAAGGATCCAAGTGTCCTAAAATTGTACACAGGACTACCATTTCTTACCCCCTCTTGACTATTCCTCCATTATCCCTTTAAACTTTCCATAAACCATCACTTTCAAATGATTTTTGGTGGGGTTGAAGGAGCTACCAAAGATAGAAATCGAAAAGGCCAGATGACCCGGCATAGTCACGCGTGAGACCCAGTGTAATTACTACACTGGGTTCTCAAGTTGGGCGGTGTGATCATGCCGCCTGGGTGACTTTGGCGTGTTTCGGGAGCTTAAGGCGTGGTCATGCCCAGGGATGGGCGTAGTCATGCCCAGTCCAGGCGTAGTCACGCTGGAACCCCACAAGCATGGGCCTCTGGAAAAGTTCGTCGAAGGGGAATACAAGCTGCATGTGAACCTTGAAAGCCTAATATGAGTACAACATTACCCTCAAACTTCTGTAGATGCCGTAAATGCATCTAAATACTCAAGAAGACACTTTGCACGTATGTTGTATCAAAAATAGCTGCCAACAATGCCATAATCAATAGTTGTAATAACATTCATACGCTGCAGAGGATGGAGTTGAGAGCAGCATGACTGTGATAACATTTATAGGTTGCAGAGGCTGGAGTTGGGAGTTGCATGAACTGCAATAACTTCTTTAAGTCGTAAGAGTCGAAATTGGGAGTTGCATGGTCTGAAAAAATATTTGTATGCTAAAGAGGCCAGACTTGGGAGTTGCATGAGCTGAGACGACGTTTGTAGACCGAAGAGGTCGGAATTGGGATCTGCATGAGTCGAGATGATGTTCATAGGCCACAGAGACTAGAGCTTGGAGTCACATGAACTGAGACATTGTCTAGGGATGTAAGTGAGCCTAACCAACTAGTGAGCCGACTCGAGCTCGGCTAGATAAGTGGCTCGTGAATTGAACCTGATGAGCTAACAAGACGAGCTCAAGCTAGCCCCAACTCGACTCGTTAGCTCGTAAGCCGACTCGTTTAAAAAATATTAATATAAAATATACCCAAATTTTATTAAGTTTGAAGAATTTATCTTTAAATCATTAAAAATGTTTAAAAACAAATATTTTGTATTTTATATAGGTGATTTCTTAATTTTTTTCTCCAAATTGTTCATTTTATTTCTCATTTTATTATAACACTAACTTAAATTAATATTATTTTCTCTCTTTTATAATAAACAAGTTTGCTCGTGAGCCGACTCAAACTCATAAATTTAACCTCGAGCTCGAGCTCGAGCACGAACTCAATAAACTTAATCAAGCCCAAGATTAAGTTGATTTGGTCTGGTTCTTGTCTTTGCCAACATAGACTAATATTGGCTTTACTACGTCGTTTAGGCCCTTAGCAGAGGCTGAGTGAAGTAACAAACACCAATGCAGGGTGAGTGCACGAAAAGTGATATCAACCAAAAACAACAAGGAATTAGCCTGGACCCTATACTGGTGCAAAATACTTGAATTTCAAACACTAAATATCAGAAACATGGCCATAAGATGAAATAAGTAGCCTACATTTCTATTCACAAAGATTAAGAGCAAACAATAAAAAAAAGATAAGATACCCTTTTTTTTTCACTGTAAAATGCTATTATAAAATGCTATTATCTCTAAAATACTAATGAACCCTACCTCAACAACACTTAAGAATCAAAAAGAAGATTATAAAAAGATCATACAACCCAATCCTTACAAGAGATCTCCATATTTGCATTTTCATCATCAGAATCACTTTTTCCAGCCACAAAATTTGTCTGCTTTGCAGAAACAGATTCATTGTGCGCTGAAGGAACCACCTTGGTAGAATCCGATTGCTGATAAAGAACACCTCCTACAAGAGTGAAAAGTAGGCAAACTAAACCAAACGGACTCGCATGTTTGTCCAATATGAAGACATTGATTCCAACTGTAAGAAACTTATTCACAACTCCTGTCACTGTAAAAGCGGTAGCAGATATAGCTTTCCTCACCGCAAAACCAAAGAAACTGATAAGGAATCCGAAGCACAGGACAAACTGACTGCAGCAAAAGCACCAAAAGCAAACCAATCGCCATTGTTCGATCCAACTGCAGTAAACACATCTGAATACTCTCCAGTCATCAGCCAGAATAAAGGTGACATCATCAAAGATAATATATTATTGTAGAAGACACTAAAGATGCACTGAAAGTGTCTAGATTGGAAGGACATGGCTGGTTTCTGAAAGCAGTGTCAGCAATAGACACCAATAGTGGGGTCAAAGATCGAAAAACTATAAAAGTGTCTAGATTGGAATGACGGAGCAGATTGGTGTTCGTGAAAATAGGAAGATAGAAGACAATGGCAGCAGGTAAGAACTTTTTAGCAGTTCCAAGTTAAGAGGATCATGGTGGAGAAATCCCAGTTTTCCAGTAATCCAAACACCAGCAGCAGAAGTATTGTAATGCGGTTAAGCGGCCTGGATAATTAAACTTGGTGATCGCAACTTTGTTGATGACAGCAAGCAAGCTCGAACACAGAGCATAAGCCACAACAAGGCTACTGGTCGCATGGTAGTGTTTTGTCGCGTCAAGTTTGATGACCGCCATTGTTAAACACTCCACCAAGTCTGCAAGGTTTGTGGTTTTCCTCTAATTCACTAAAGATGCACTGACACAAAGCTGCGTCGAAGGTAATTAACAAGAATTTACATAGGCAAAGAAATTACCGCTATTTTTTAAGACGTTGAATAAAAAAAAGAAAAAAAAAAGAACAACAGAAAGTAATCGGTGCCGGGTTCAAAAAAAGAAAAAAACAAATCTTTAATTTCAGACTGGATACAGGAACGCACTCCGATCTGCTCGACTAGGCGCGAGTACGGGTCGAAAATAACAACATTTCTTCTCGAAATCGCCTTGGAAGCTGAAGCTGATATTAGAAGAATCGAATCCTGGAGCGGGACAAGTTGAATAAGATCAGACGGACTACGGTGAAGAAGAAGGGATTAAGCGGGATCTTCTGATCAGGTAGTAAAAAGCTCCGAATCGGTCAAATCATTATCCTCGCTGCGCCGCCATAGGTTGCCGACGGCGACTAAGGAGGGGAAATGAGAAAAAAGAAATGATTTTGCTTACGGCCAGAACCTCCGGTGCGCATATTCCTGCACGAAACCCAGTTTAAATGCGCGGGCACGGGCCGCAGGGATGTCCGACCGCCGACGAGGGGAGCACTGATAACATCAATCCAGGCTGAGAAATTATTGTGTCCGATCCTCACCGTCATTTTTTTTTTTTTTAATTTAGGTAAGACCTAAGAGAATACATTCTGACATTATTTACGACCATAATCCAAGATCTCATCTTTTTCATTAAATATATTTATATATAATACATATTTACATATCTAACCCTTCAAAATTTAATTTTGACGTGCATGGCACCTTAGGAATAAAAAAAATAAACTTCATTTTTTTAAAATTAAAATGATGACATTTTTTTAAATGAAATATAAAATTTGAGTGATAAAAATATAAAAAATAAAGTTTAACTGCTACATACATAAATGCATAAGAATTGGAAGGTATGCATGTAAATGCCACAGGAAATGGATTTTGTACCAGCATTAACAAAACAGAAACTCATGCAACAACTTTTTAACGTTATTTTTACTTCAAATTCAAGAATTGACATGTGCTCATGCGAGAAGATGTATTCCTCTAATATATCATCCACACATAAGTAATATTTTTTGCCCCCAATTTTGGTTGACAAACAGAGTTCAAATTAAATGGTAGAGGTAGCCGCATAGTTGATAAGGTCCTTCAAATTGTGAGAAGAAGAACCCCCATCTTCCATTGCCTTCACAGCCATAACTCCAAACTCCCTAACCCTCTTCCTCCTCTCCTCCGCCTCCTCCCCTCCCCCCATCAACTTCCTCACTGCCTCCTCCACTTCCTCCCTCCTAATCACCCATTCAACCTTCCTCTCCTCCTCCGCCGACAACCTCGTCGGCGGTGACTTCCCCCCCACTGCCACACCCACCCTCAGCACATCCACCACCAATCTCTCGTTCAAAAACTGATCTGCAAACCTGGGCCACGTAACCATGGGCACCGCCGCCGCTATTGCCTCCAGCGTCGAGTTCCATCCGCAGTGCGTCATGAATCCCCCCACAGCCTTGTGCGATAAGATCAACGATTGCGGCGCCCATCCCCTGATCACGAGCCCAATTGATCTCGTTCTTTCCTCAAACTCCGATATCCATGTCTCAGCGGCGGCGATGGCGGCGGCTTCCTTGACTACCCAGATGAAGGGGACCTTAGATGCTTCGAGAGCGTACCCGATCTCTATGAGTTGAGGAAACGGATTGCAAGATATGCTGCCAAAGCTGACGAGAATGACGGAGTTGCTGCTTTTTCCGTTCAGCCATTGGAGGAGCTTGCCGGCGTCGAAGGAAGAAGGTTTTCCCCTGCTTATCAGGTCCTCCATGTCCTTGTTGCACATGGATAGTGGGCCAATTGTCCAAACCTAATTAATTAACTAATTTCATTATTTAATAGTAAAAGTAAATAATCCATGGAGCAATTACGTGCAGATTACAGATACAGAGCACCTGAAAGACATGCTATTTATAAAAGGGAACATCGATTCATCGATCTATGGAGAATTAAAATAAAGGGATCAGTGAAAACCTTCTTCCCAACGGCCTTCTTCCTGTAGCTGTCTATGAACCACGGCTCCAACTCATCAAAAGTATTGAAAATCATCCCATCCGTCGCATCCTCGCTGGCGTAATACTTATCCCTAATGTCACCCAACGCCGGCGAATCCAACCATCTCCTCGCGTGCGCCTTCATCAGCTCTATCTTCTCCGGCATCTCCGGCAACTCAAACACCTGAAACTCGTTCTCAATCTCATCCAACGTCCTCCTCTTCCTCAGAACATGACAGCAATAGACATAAAAGCAAGATGGTCCATGAAAAACCAATCGCCGAATCCCGAATTTCCTCGCGGCCTCCGCCGTCCAATAATGGATGGAATCAGCGATGATGCAGTCGGGCTTTGGCGCGGAGCTTCGCTGGAGAAAACTCTCGAGCTGAGAAGAGAGCAAGGGCAAGGCTTCGATGAATGGTTTGAGGAGATGCACCGATGGTATGAGATCTAAATTCTCGCATCCTTCGGGGAGGCCAGCTTCGGCGGAGGGGAAATGAAGTTCGATGAAGTGGATGGGGAGGTGGGTGTTGTGGATTCGGTTAATGATGGGGCGGATGCGAGCGGCGTTGACAGGGGTGGTGATGAAGCTGATGGTGGCGCCACCGTTGGCAAGGAGACGAGCCATGTCGACGGCAGGGATCATATGGCCCTGAGCCATCATAGGGACGATGACAAAGTGGGGACGGCAATGAGTATTGAAGCTCTCTTCCATGGCTGCTGAAGGAGCTCCAAATTAAAATGGTTAAAGGCCACTGCTTTGCTTTCATGGTTTTTGGTAGCCATAGGTGGCTTAAATAGAGCTGGGGCTGTTTGCGTGGACTGCAAACGATTCGTGTTATGATATGGCTCATATAACATATCGGGACAGACGCTGGATCGAAGCGGAGCAGAGCGGAGCGGAAGAATCTGTCCAAATTGGGAAGTTACGTGGGTTGAGGTGCGGGGGCAAAGCCCCGCGGTATGGTATAGGGGTAATGTTGTAATTACATATTGTGTCTAAGGTTTACTCCTGAGGTTATAAATAGACATGTTAGTAACCCTAGGAGGTATCCCTGAATTCTGTAAACCCTTTTCTGATTATTGAAAGGAACTCGCCGCTCTGCTCCCGAGGACGTAGGCATCTTTGCCGAACCTCGTTAAATCTTTGTGTTCTTCTGGATTTGTGTCGATTACTGTTTTTCTTCGCCCTAATTTTCTCAACAAGTGGTATCAGAGCCAGGTTCGAGGGCAAGGAAGAATTTTCCGTGAGGGTTTTGCCGCTGTGTCTTCGGATCGGCTTTGGCGGATCTACGCAGGGCTCGGATTGCGATTTGATCGCGATATAGGAGAAGGAAGTTGCGACAGAGCTGCGACGCGGAGGTGTTCCTGTCGAAGGAGATCTCTGTCGAAGGAGAGGTGCGGAAGGCATCGATACGGCTCGGTGCTTAGGAGTTTGACAAAGGCAAGAGTTCACGAGGTGTTCCTGCGGGGAAGAAGTTCGCTCGTTCACAGAGTTCTTCCGTACGGCGCGGGCAACAGGCTAGTTTCGCGAATTTGGGGAAGGAGCAACAGAAACGGAAAGGAGGAATATTCTCTGCTGTTGTTGCGCATATTTTGCGTGAATTTTTCCACAATTGCATGAGCAGGAAGGAAAGGAGGAATTGCAATTTTACATGAATTGCAAAATTTCCATTGTTGGCTGGCTTGCGGAGACAGAGAAGGAAGGATATTCCTTGCTGGAGAAAAAGAAAGCTGAGAATTATTTTTTATTATTTATTTATTTTTTTTTTCACTTGGCCCACGAAAAGAAAAAAATAATAATAAAGGAAAGTTTTTTTTTTATTAAATTTAGCAAATTTAATTAAGAATTTCCTTTGCTAGATAAGAGGGTTTTGCCGCTGCGTCTTCGGATCGGCTTCGGGCGGATCTACGCAGGAAGAAAGTCGTGACAGCGGTTTCCTTGGCTCGGATCGCGGTTTGCTCGGGGGTT